GATAAAAATTTAAGTGATGAAATTTGACCTGGGAAGCTTGGACATCTTGACCTCACTGAGATTAACATCTAAGACAATATGGAATACCCTGGTGACTGCTTCAGTGCTTCAATGCGGTGTGTGTGTGTGTGTGTAATTATGTCTAATTATTCTTAGAACTTGACTCAGGCAATTCTTAGGTGAAAACAGACAGGAATTAAATCCATCGGAATCCAATCGATCCAGTAATGCTGTTCATCCTTCTTCCTTAATAACTCCGTGCTGGCCCCCTTTCCAATGCTGACTGATTCTGTCCTGCCTTAGTTTCTCATTAGTACTTCCTTGGATTATTACGATTGCCTCCTAACTGGTCTCCCTCATCTATCTCACCTCTCTCCAATCTGTTCTCCTCGTTTCTGCCAGAGTGCTCTAAACCATTTTTTTAATCAGGCACCATCTCTGCTCAGCACGGATGGCTGTCCTAATGCTTCATGATCAGATCCAAACTTAGCATGGAAACAGCCCTCAGAGCATGCCCTGCAGCCCCAAAGACCCAAGCTCTGCTTGTTCCCTTTGTTGCAATGCTCCCTCCATCTCTTTTTCACTTCATTATCTTACACCTATTCTTTTAAGACATGATTCAAATCTTTGGAAGAATATACAAGAAATTGGCAGCCCTGATTGTGTTGGAGGAGAGAAACTAGGCTGGTGAAGGGAAGATATAGGGAAACGTTTCACAGCATGCCTTTTTATACATTTTGACTTTTACATTATATGGATGTATTGCTACATCTTTGAGGGGGTGGAAGGGAGACTCAAGGGAGGGGGACATATGTATACTTCCGGGTAATTGGAGTTGTATGGCAGAAACCGACACAACTTTGCAATTAGCCTCCAATTAAAAATAAATTAAAAGAAGAAAAATAACTAAAAGGAATGAAAATTTTAAAAAATTTAAAGCATGAGATGGACCAAAAAAAGAGATACATTTCAGAGTTCGGTTCTGCATGAAGTCTTCATTAACTTGACACTTCCCTCCACTTAGCCACCGCTATCTGTACCTTTCCACACTCCTCTGTTACAGCATTTATCAGTCGGTGTTAAATTAACAGTTTCAATGTCCTCATTGCCTGGAAGCACCTTGAGGGAAGGGACTTACTTTGTCTCATTCACCTTTGAATCTGGTACATGGCAGGTGCTCAGTAAAAGCTTGGTGAATTAATGAATGAAAAAAATCTTCTGCACAGAAAAGGAACAAAAAATAAGTAAGCAATCCCACCTTTTACACATGAAGAAAACGAAGCCCAGAGAAGATTTATTGAGGATTTGTAGCAGTAGAAAATGAGAATCCATGCTTTCTAGAGTCCAAATTTGGTACTAGAATAAGTTATAAGACTTTCACTTTGATATAGTAGATGTGATGTGGATCATATATACTTATTTTGACCTGAGTCCCTGGATTTTCAGGAAATTTCTGATTGCCAGTTAGCTGTCTAACCTTCAAAGGACACTTTCACATATCAGATCATGGGTCCTAAATTTGGGTTTGGAAAATATTTAGCCTAAGGAGCCCATAGACTAGGCTCATATACATAGAAAAATCACAGGAGAATCTTCTTGCACATTTATTTTAAAAGCTGCTGCTGCTGCTGCTAAGTCGCTTCAGTCGTGTCTGACTCTGTGCAACCCCATAGATGGCAGCCCACTAGGCTCCTCTGTCCCTGGGATTTTCCAGGCAAGAGTACTGGAGTGTTGTGCCATTTCCTTCTCCAATGCATGAAAGTGAAAAGTGAAAGTGAAGTTGCTCGGTCGTGCCCGACTCTTAGCGACCCCATGGACTGCAGCCTACCAGGCTCCTCTGTCCATGGGATTTTCCAGGCAAGAGTACTGGAGTGGGGTGCCATTGCCTTCTCCAATCTTAAAAGCTATGCTTTATTTTATTGTTTTCCTAAAACATATGCAGCATGGTGGACATAGTTACACACAGTAGCCCTCTTTAGAGATGCTAGACTAGCACAGGAAATGTACCCATGACAACGTGAAGTGGTATATTCAGTTCTCATTTGCTAGCATTTGCTGAATATCCAGGGCACAGAGCAGTGACTAAGGGCGTTTTATTTTACACAGCAACCATGTTTTTAATATGTAAAATGGTAGTGTTAATGATTACTTGGAGCAAATTTTAAGTACCCCGGGGGAGATCTTTTGTGGCTTCAAGATCAGTGGTCTTAAAACTTTCTGCTCACATACCTCCCTGAAAGAATTTTAAAAATTTGCATCCTCCCTGTATTTTTATGTTGCCACCTGTAATTTTTCAATGTACATTTGCAGAGCATCATTTCCAGCATATTGCATGCAATTCATGATATTTTAAAATAAAGCTGTTAGCTCACTCTTTTAAAGTTACCCCAAAGAGTCTAAATCCCATAGTACTTTTTTTACCCAACATTATTCCTTTTAAATATATGTGACCTAGCTATTTTTTAACAGCCAGAAAATTTACATTGTTCCTTCTTCTTCTTCTTGAACTCATGTTTTCATTTCCATATTTCCATTGTTCCCACAGACTGCTATTTTATTGCATATTTTCATACTCGAAAAATTTGTATTGATGACTGCATCATTTTTTACAACTACATATTTACATAATTTTGCTTTCTGGTAACTTTAAGTCCCTTGTTTTGTCTCTGGATGGAGTTGTCACTAAAATTGTTAGCAGTACACAACTGATCAAACATGGCTATATTACAAATTGATAACTATTTTTAAGCATAAAAATAAAACATGTTAGAAAAATGGAGGGGTCTTTTTTCCCCAGTGGATTTGGGGATGAGTATTATAGAGTAATATTGAGTTTCACCCCAACTCTAATCATGAGTTTGATACTGTTCTTATAGATATAATTGCTGAAGCAGTTTGTTCACAAAAGTAAGTAGATGGGAACTGTAGCCCTGTTACTCAGTTCCTGGAACTGCTTTCAACTATATGCCAAAAATCATGTGATGATCTGTTCCTTAAAGTATTTTTTCTTCCTACTGGTTGTCAAATAACCCTTTATTGAATTAAGTTCCTTTGCAGTTCTTAACCAGCTGGGCATTCCACCACACCACTGTTGGATTCGTCTATGATGTCATGAGGATGACCGCCATCCACATCAGAGCCCACAGACCTGGCAGTCCCCAGGATCTCTTTAATGGTTCCAGAGTATTCTGGAGCTAAAGATTGGTGTTGCATCTGCTGGGCAATGTGGATGACCTCATCAAAAGCGATGTTTCCACTGTGCTTAATAATTTTCTGCTTCCTTCTGTCCCTTGGTTGTTCCTTAAAGGCTTTGATGATCAGGATAGACACAGAAGCTACCACCTCAATCTGGGCCTGTCTGTTCTGAACGATCAGTTTCACTGTAGTCCTCAGACCCTTCCAACCACCAGCTGCCTTTGCAATGTTATCACCAACCTCTTTTGGAGACAGCCCCAGGGGGCCTAGCTTGGGAGCCAGGACAGACGTGGCACAGACTTCTCCATGGGTGCCCCTCAGGTATATAACTTTGTCGCCTTAGGGTCTAACTTAGGTGACATGGTGAGGCAGCTGGTGTCAGATAAACCTGGATTTCAGAGGACTGAAGAAAATGATACCTTGGCCTCCTTCAAGTTGAAATCGGAACTAAAGCCATTTAAATTATTTTTAGTGCTTTAGCAGGTAACACTTTTGTTCTCCAGTCATCACAGTCATCCCCTTTCTCAGCACTCACAAAGGCTTCTAATTTTCCATGTTTTGTGCAACTAAGGTCAATGCACCACAGTGTGACGTGGAATTTGTAAGAAGAAAGATTTTCTTATGTTAAATGGGAAAATGGAAATTGTTTTTTAAAAAGGGGGGTATGGAAAAGAGATTGCAAGCATGTTTTCAGGCAGATAAATTTTAGGAAGGTATAGGAGTGAAAGTTGAGGGACTTCCCTGGTAGTCCAGTGGCTAAGACCCTGTGTTCCCAATGCAGGGGGCCTGGGTTCAGTCCCTGGTCAGGGAACTAGAACCCACGTCCCACAGTTAGGACCTGGTGCAGCAGATAAATAAATAAATATTTTTTAAAAAAGAAAGTTAAGAATGTGGAATTGAGTCCCTTAAAACTATCCATGCTCTGTACTACTGGAGAGTCTTCATATACATGGGCAGATATGGTTATCCTGGTTTGAAGATTTCTATTCAATAGTCAGCAGGCATTTGAACAAAAATGAGTGGAGAATGAGAGGTTAAGGCAGTCCTAAATACTGGGTATGACATGGTGGTTAAGATAAGAGCTCTGTAAACCCTAACTCTGAAATTTCCTAGCAGGGTATTCTTGAGCAAATTAACCTCTACTTTCTTAATTACTAGTTTAGAAATAAAGGCAATAATGATACCTACCTCATAGGGTTGTATTGAGAATTTGAAGAATTAATATGTAAGCACTTAGAATACTGTTTGACAAATAATAATTACTCAATAAATCATTGACATACATACTAGGAAATGATTATACATGACTAGAAATGAGTTTCATATGATTGAGTCCTAAATAAATTAAAATTCCATATATACTTTGCTCTTAGCAAAGCTAATCATTTAATTTGTAAATTCAATGAAAAGTACAAGTATGAGGCAAAGCCCGGTTCCTTGTCCAGAGTTTGCAGGCTTATGCTACCTCTTGAGAAAACAACAACAAAAATAAAACAAACAAAAGGTATATGAGTTATAAAGTTATTCTTTCTATATCAAAGCATAGCCTATGTTAGGTAAAATTTATAATCTGCTTATTTTGAAGTGGCAAGAAAAGTGTTTGATGTGCTCTTTCCCCATCTTTTATAACCACAGAAAGTCCCATTATTTCCATTCAGGATATCTTCCCCCCACCCCCACACACTATTACTAAATATACCATCCAAACTTCTGGTGCTTAGAGGTTCAGGGGTTTTGCCTTGCTACTATCACTGGGGCTTCAGGAGATCATACTCAACAGTCTTTGTTAAATGAAAATTAGAGAGTTTTTTCAATATGACTTTATTTCTCTTGTATTTCTAATTGTCCTCACCTCCACCCATTCTAAATTTGATAGCTTATACCATAAGTTATGAAAAAACACAACAAAGAGTTTGAAAACCCTTATTTGAATAACAGTGACTTCAGGAACAGCTGCTAAGATAAAATAAATCCAAGAGAGCTCAGCAACCAGAATGCAATGGCTTTTCTTTTTAAAGGGACAGGAAGATTCACTCACTAGTGTAAGCCTTAAGCAGTTACTTTAGATCAATACTATATTTTAATTGATATCTAAGTTTTTCAGCTCTGAATTTTTATAGGGTGTTTGAACCCATATACAGAGGATTCTCTTCCACTATATTTCTTTCTTTTTTTTTTTCCACTGTATTTCAATTTGAACAATTGTTTGATGATATCATTGATAGAGGTTTACAAAGCAGAAAATAAAATCCACCAGGAATCAAGCTTTCAGATTTCTTCTTTCACTGAGAATGTAGAAAAAAACAAAACAAAAAACTTTACCTAGTGAAATAGAAATAATGAGATCAAATGGAAATTTATTACTAAGACAAAATTGCATTGCCAGTAGCAGAACAAAAAGATAAAAATTGTTTTGTTGATTGCAACATCTTTGTCTTCTGTACTGAGATTCATGTTACAGAAACTCTTCATTAAAATAGTACACAGAAGTCTGGATTTTAAATAATTAAGTGAAGGGACTTCCCTGATGGTCCAGTGGTTGACTCCATACTTTCATTACACAGCGAGTACATCGGTTCAATTTCTTTTGGGGAACTAGGACCTTCCCACGCCAAATCCTGTGGCCATAAAATAGAGAAAAACAAACAACCCAACAAACTGAGCTTAGGAAGTAAGGATAAGCAGAACTCTCTTAAGAAAATCCAACATATTAAAATATAATCTTATAGACTGGATGAATAAGAAGGAGATTATTTTTCCTACAAAAGTGTCATTTATTATGCAAATAGATTTATTTTTTAAATATCTAGCTTCACTAGTACACTTAGATTATGACTTGATTTCTAAATACATTATTTACATATGACTTTTGTTGGAATATATATATAACATGACTAGCCAGAAGACATTGAGCTGAAGCCTAAAATTTTCAGAATAGCAAATTATTTCATGAAAAGCTGTATTTATCAAAGTGTCTTAATTTTTCTGGCCTAGTTAAATCAGCAAAGAAAAAATAAAATTTAGAAAAATGTTAATATCCAAGATACATAGTTACAGTTCAAAGCAAAGACAGAGTCCCACATGTTCCTGCTTCTTCTTTAATTATTTCATTCAGCCCTCTGTAAATAACTCCTATACTTCATTTCTCATTGACTTTTTTGCTCACTTGACTATTTCCACATGTGGCAGTTGAATATATTTGTACCAATAAAATGAAATATCACACCCTCAGATCATTTCATGAAAGTTCTTTTTTCAATGTATCATATTTGGCTGCAATTATCAAACAACCTAACTAGAAGTGCCGTAGACCATGAAGCACTTATTGTTTACTAAACAGAATGCCCAGAGGAAGAAAACCCCAGGTGGACTTGGGAGCTCAGTGATGTCAACATGGACCCAAGTGGACTAGACAGCATTTCAGTCCAGGCAGTCAGACTCAAGTGTCGATGGATCATTCTGTCTTCCTGGGAAACTCTGAGTTCTTGTAGTGAAAGAAGAAAGAAGGCAGTTGCTAGCTGCTCAGTCATGTCCAACTGTTTGCAACCCCATGGACTGTAGACCACCAGGCTCCTCTGTCCATGGGATTCTCCAGGCAAGAATACTGAAGTGGGTTGCCATTTCTTCTTCCAGGGGATCTTCCTGACCCAGGGATCAAACATGGGTCTCCTGCATTGCAGACAGATTCTTCACCATCTGAGCCACCAGGGAAGCCCTCTTGTAGTGAGCAAGGACTTAAAATCTCTCAGTCTCTCACATGGTAATCATTTAATAAGTATTCATTAAACAGTTAAGGAAATTTTAAAATAAGAGCAGGAAAACTAAGACTATGTGCAACAGAAGGGTGCTTTGGTGTTGAATGATGTCACAACTATTCAAGTTAAGGCTGGATCTTTGTGCTGTGTGGTTTTTAAATAGATCTCAGTATAACTAAAAAACATTTTGGGTCATTTATACTTCCTTTGGGTCATTGTGGGTCTTCCTACTTCCTTGGAGTCTCTTTCGTTGTCCTCTCAATGCTCGGTGTTTAAATTTGCAAGTTTAGAAATGTAGACTGAGCCAAACTGCTCTGTATGAGAAAGCTTTGGAGGTCACTGTAGTCAGCAAGGTAAGCTGTGTGCAGTGTTTCTGTGCTTGTATGCTTTGTATGTGCACTCACTGCATTTCCTAAGGGAGGGAGACTTCTCTTTTGGAAATACAGGGTTTGAGAACTACTCTGGTTGGTACCTGATTAGTTTCCTATGATAGCATCTTATTAACTGTTGGAGTGATTTATGCAAAATCAAATTTTATATGACATATTTTAAACTTAATAAATCAATTTTAGGACAAGTAGAAAGTTGAAAATTGGAGTTAGAGCTTGGTAAAAATCACTAGGCTCAAAAACAAACAAATCAACAACAACAACAACAAAACCCTTAACAAATGAAAAAAAAAATCCACTTTCAAAAGAAATGATAGAGCAAAACATTCAGCACACCAGACAAAAAATTAAAGCACTAAGCGTGAAATTCCTAGAAGATGATCAAGCATTTTGTCTGCTGTTCTGTGTGTTTGCGTGTGGTGGTGGGGCAGGATGGGGGTAGGGTAGTGACAAGCAGCAGGATGGGTAATGGATAGTTCTCTGAGAATCTTCACCTGGGTGGAGACGAGAAGGAGAGGGAACTATGGTGGTCTGCTTTTTCTGCAAACTCAGCCAGCACTTTACAAATGGCATAGGACTCGTTTCAAGCTCAACTATTACTGGCCTAAATCCAATGGGATTGGCCAGAAATGAATCATCTTTGGAAATGCAGCATGATGCAGAGACTCACTCAGGAGCTAGAGGAGCCAAGCACAGCTAAGAGTAAGGCCACCTTTTAGACCAGGAAGCAGACCTAAAAATGGTCTGGTCTCTGCCTACTGTCCCAAGGCCCTAGTCCCTTTCCCTCTCCTCCATGGAGAAATCCCTGGCCACTCCGGCCCACAGTGAGGACTCTGAAGTCTCAGGGCCTTTGGAATTTGTCCTATATCTTGTAGTTAATTACAAACAGCTTGAGTTGATCTTGTGAATAAAATGAGGTTATGGATATGAAAGTTCCTAGTACAGAATCTAGTGAGACTTTGTTTTTCCACTCTGTCACCCCTGGAAAGACAGTTCTGGCCAGGGCACAGAAGTAATGAAAGCGGGGCCCTTAAGGAGAGGTGACTCAGCCCTTCTCCTCATCTGTTATAACACACAGGCCCTGGCAAGCAATGTTCCTCACTAGATCCAGAAACTGTTGCTGCTATTGAAATAATCCAGATGGTACGAATTACACCAGAAAGCCTTTATAAGTTGGCCCATTATTATCCAGATTTGAAGATACATGTTATTAGAAGCCATATGACCTGAATGCTTGTTGGGGTATTTGAAAAACTGGTTTCTGAAGAACAAAAATAAGTAAATATGGAGTGGATTATTAATTTACTACCTGTGTTAAAAATCAGAGCCTGTTTATTTCAGCAAAATTAAAATACTTTAAAATTGTAATAATACATACTTATAAAAATTCATATATCACAGGAGTTAATACAATGTAAAGCAATTTCACTTTTAACAGTATGGTTAGCAACTGTCCAGTGAAGACATGAAGAGGTTGGGGCTACAGAGGTAAATATGATCAACAAGGTCCCTGCCTTCATGGGGTTTACATTCTAGCAGGAGGAAACAGACAGTCAGCAAGCAAATAAGTAGACAAACCAGACATGGGATATATGGAAGTGGGATCTCAATGATGGGAAAAAAAGTCACAGTGTTGAACTCTTGTTTGGAGAACCTTCCAGCAGACTGAATTGCAGGTTCAAAGGGCCAGACAAGAAAAAAGGGGGCTGCTACATATAGTATATCACTTTAGTATACCAAAGTAAGCATTCCAAAAGGAGTATAGGGGTCAGATCATGCAAGATCTGGGTAGGAAGGTCAACTTCATTTAACACTATGAAAGGCCATGAAAGATTCTGAATTGAAGGGGAGGGCAGCAGAGAGAATCTGATCTTCTGTTTTGAAAAAAAAAGTCAGGGCAAGAGTGGAAGTCTGCAGACCAGACATGTTGGAAGAGATTCACTCACACATACACTGAAACATATAGAGCTTAAAATATATGGACACTCTTCCTGCAACTTGCTACTAGTGTTATTTTTAGAACTCCTCTTTGAAATTATGTTCACAGTCACTTTACTGTCTTAGAAAATCAAACACATTTTGTTTTTTGACCTTTCCCTATCCACCCAAATGCAGTAACTTAGTTGGAAAACACAGGTTTTGGCATTTTTAACATGATTCCAGAATGTGTTCATCAGATTTGGCTCTGAATAACTTTTGGATCATTCCAAAAATCAGATTTATTCTCAAAGAAAGAATTCTTTTCAAAAATTCCATGTCTACAAATGTGATACTTTTAAGCAGCATCATATATACTTGGACAAGGTGGTTTATCTGAAATGAAAAACATCCATTTAAAGTTATATTTATTCACTGGTAATTACTGAGCACTAATCACTAAGTACCAGGCACTGTTCTAGGTACCGGGCATACATCAGTGAAGGCTTCCCAGGTGGCTCAGTGGTAGTAAAGAATCCTCCTGCCAATGTAGGAGGTAAGACTCAGGTTCGATCCCTGGGTCGGGAAGATCCTCTGGAAAAGGAAATGGCAACCCACTCCAGTATTCTTGCCTGGAAAAATTCCAGGGACAGAGGAACCTGGTGGGCTACAGTTCATGGGGTCACAGAGAGTTGGACGTGACTGGGCACACACACACCAGTGAACAATGAGACAAAACGTGTCCCTGCTGGGCTTACATCCTAGTAAAGGGAGATGAATCAAACAAACCACAAATAAGGCTAAGTGAACTCTGTTAATACAGAAGTTCAAGATTAATATAATCTTCAATATGGTTGAAGATTATATAAGAGCAAGGTGAGAGAGCTTTAGGAATCTGGGGCGGCGGGGGGGGGCTTCCAATTTTAAATAATGTTGTTAGGTTGGGCCTCACAAAGAAGGTGACTTTGGTTAGATCTGAAAGGGCAGAGACAAGTAATATAAACATTAAGGACAAGAAACTTCAAACTGACTAACAGTGCAAAGGTTCTGAGGTAGGAAAGTCCTGGCAAGGATGAGGAGCACTGTGGTGGCTAATGGCTGAGTAAGGCAGAGAGCTGTCAGCTACAAGGTCAGAGAGGTAAGGAGATGGAGGCCAAGTGATAAGAAACTAGTAGCCATGGAAAGAAATTTGACTTTAACACTGACTGAAGGAAACAAAGCAGAAAAGGGGCATGGCATATTATTCTGACCACTGTGATACAGACTACAGAGGAGCAAGGATGGAAGTTTTTATGTTTTTTGGAAAACACCACCACCTGATAATCAATCTCCTAATTTTGCCAGGAAAGGGGAAAGTAACCACAGTTAAACATTAAGAAACATTCCAGATCATGTCTTTCCCCTTTGTTTCCTTTAGAGCAAAGTCCTATTAGGCCCAATTCCATTGTCCCTGGACCCAAAGTGCCCTTAGACCATTTTCAGGCCGCAGCCAAGTTCTTTATCTTTATCCTGTACATTAGCTAGGATCTTCTTGGCTGCAAGAAACTGCAACCCATGATTGCTCAATCGCTTCAGTTGTGTCTGATTCTTTGTGACCCTACAGACTGGAGCCCACCAGGCTCCTCTGTCCATGGGATTCTGCAGGCAAGAATAGTGGAGTGGGTTGCCATGCCTTCCTCCAGATCTTCCCAATCCAGGATCGAACTCGTATTTCCTGGGTCTCCTGTGTTGCAGAGAGATTCTTTACCTCTGAGCCACCGGAGAACCCCAAGGAACTGCATACCTGACCCAAAATGGCTTGGGCATCAGGCCACTTACTATGTCACACGTGAGTAGTCATGAGGTATGCAGAGCCAGGGTAGGTTAACTTAGCCACTCAGTGACCTTTTGGTTCTAGGTTACCATTCCATATATTTTCTTTGCTCATTGTTCCAGGATGCACCACCATAGGTTGAAACACATCTTGCTAACTGGAAGATAGCCAAGGCAAGAAGTAAGGAAAAAACTTTTTTAGGGGCTCTCAGAAATAAAACCCTCCCCCTGGAGTCCCTTTTCCCCACCTTCCCATTATGTTCACACCACACGCTTAGTTCCTAAAACAGTCACTGACAAAGGGGGACAGAGAAGCAAGACCTGTCTAGACTGGTGGCTTTCAGAGCATTAATCTGAGGAAGGGGAGAGGGTGTTAAGAGCTGATCCCCAAGACCCTTTCAGGGAGTCTGCAAGGTCAAAACTATTCTAACACTAAAATGTTATTTGCCTTTTTAAAAAAACTCCCATTCTGAGGGTACAATGGAGTTTTCCAGGGGCCACCTGAAATAGTGCAACAGATTGAATGCAGCACATTTGAAAATCCAGTTTTCTTCCATTAGGCTGGATATCATAGATATTTGCAAATTTTTAAAGTAATACCACTATTGCTACTATTTTAGGGGGAAATATGGTTATTTTCCATTAAGATGTGCTATTTATGATAAGATGTAATTATTTTTTAGATAAGTATTTTTAGATTTGTTTTAATTTTAGTATAGTAAATATTAATACATATAACCCACATAAACAAAAGCTTTTGGGGGCCCTCAATAACTTTTAGGAGTGGAAAGTGGGTCTCTCGAGCAAGACAGTAAAGCGCTGGTTTAATCTGACAGGTCTGATTCACCCTTGTGGCCAGGGGCAGAGCCAGAACTTTTCCTAACTCACCTTCTCCTGACCCAAGCCTTCTTAAAATCCTACTGTGTAAATTGTTAGGCCAGAGCAGGAAGTCGCAGACGCAGCTTAATGAATTAACCGATCTCCATGCTTCTGGCTAATCGGATAGTAAGCTCTTGCTTTTTGACAGTGAGGCAGTTAAATGGTCAAAATGAAGCTGGAAGTGTTACTTCAAAGACAAACGTCACACGAACTTGCTTCTTAAGACGGGAAGGGGTGTGGGGTTTTGAGGGGTGGACAGTTGAAACTTCAGAACTCTTCTCGGGAGCAGGGGTAACCCCCCTCTATCTAGTCTCATCAGTTGTCTGGGTTAGCGATTAATTATTGATAATAATTGGCTTTCCTTACCACCAGCCTGCACTGTGGCGTCTTTCTTTATAAGGAGGGCCTGTCATTCACCTATGCTTACCTGCATCAGTCCTGGCCTCACGACAGCTTAGGTCAAAAGCAACAGGAAGGTTACCTTGGATTCTGAAGTTGTCGCCATGGCATGTTCATGTTCTCGCCTTGATCTTTCATCCAGGGTTGGGGCTGGATATAAGTGTGTGAACTGGAGGAAGGCACTCCTTTCTCCCTTGTTCTTCAGTTTTAACAATTCTTGTCCTTCTCTCATAGTATTTTGGTTTCAAAGTGCTTTCAGGATCCTCCTTAAAATACCAAACCTGTTTTTACTCTCTTGAGTAAATTTCTTGGCTTCACTTAAAGAAAAAAAATCTATCCAAGTACGTCTTTGTTTTATAACTCAACTCATATGCCTGCGATTTCTCCATCTGATCTCCTTCCTTTTTCTGGCCTCTCATCTACGCTGGAGAATTTTAGGAGGCCATGGAACACGGGAGGAGCGGCCATGACCCTGGCTAAGGGAGTAGCGGGCATACATTTTCTTTGCGCATATTTTGATCAGTGGGTGTGGGGCAGTTTTGCTTAACCTTCACGAGTGCCTTTTCTTAGACTTCCCGCTGTCTTCCGCCTGGGTCCAACTCTTGCCCTAAATTTACATCAACTTTTCTCCTTGGCATCTACTCCCAGCGCTTGAACCTCCCTTCCCCTGGGCCTGACCCAATTCTGGGTGCCGGCTGTTGTTTGGTTTATTTTCCCACTTTTTCAAGCCCACAGAGCTTTACTGGGCGCTTCACTTTTGCTCGGGTGGGTGCTGGGGTTCACAGGGGCTCAGAGACGTGTGCTTTGAAGCAGCCACGACCCCGCCACCCGCCCCTAGCCACATGAAGCCCGGGGCCCCGAGCTCCGCGGGTGTGAGGAGGGGGTGGAGAGCAGGACCCTGCAGGGTGAATCACAGGGCGTAACAGGTGCCGGCAGCCGCAGCTGCGCCCGCATCCCGCTCAGGCTCTAGGGATGAGGTTTTCTTTTTCTCCGGGTTTTTTTGGAGGTGCCACCGGACCAATGCAGGCCGCTGTTGTTCATCGCCTAGCAACTGGCGGAGCCAATGGGAAGCGGCTAGGCCTTGCGAACCTGCGGGGCAGGGGAGGTGGCCGCGAGGGGTGGGGCGGAGCCCGGCCGGGGGCGGGGAAGGCGGGAGCCGTAGGTGGAGGCGGGGCCGTCGGCCCGGGCTCAGCGTGCAGCCGCGCCTGTGCGGGCCCTCGGGGCTGCGCGAGCAGGTCGGGACTCCGAGCGGTGCTTCCCCGCCACAGCCGGGGGCTGTGAAGGTGAGAGCCTCACCAGGCGCCGGGATTGTGACGCGCCCGCCCGGGGAGGGGCGACGGCGCCTGCGGGGACTGGGGCGGGCGGGCGCCGGCCGGGGTCGGGAGGGCGGACGCGGAGGTGAGCGGCGGCACCTGGCGCGGCGCCCCGCTTCTCTGCGGGAGTCTCGGCGCGGCCGTTGGGGCCGTTGGAGGAGGCGGGCGAGCGTTGACCCCCCGGCTGCGCCTGGAGGAGGAGGTGGGAGGTAGGTGCCGACTCGGGGACCGCTCCCGCTGGTCGTCGCAGAGCGGAGCCCCAAACCCTCTCCGGGATGGAGAGAGGGTGGCGCCTGGCGCGGGATGACGAGCGACGCGGGGACGTGGAGGAGGAGGGGATGGCCAGTTTGGGGCTGCGGTGTCCGCCGAGCAGGAGCTGCGGGGCTCGCGGGCTTCGGGGTTGTTAGCTCGAGCCGCAGGGGCCAGTCGTTCGGTGGCCGCTGCAGGGGAAGAGAACTCCCCTACCGGTCTGGTTAAAAGACTAGGGCAACAACTTACATCATCTCAAGGCAGGCGTGTGTGAGGATGTTTTGGTGTAGAATTCTGTAGTAAAGTACAGTAAACTGAAGTGTGAGCTTCCTGCTGTCTTTCGAGCCTGTTCCAATCGCCCAGTTATGCAAGTCACTTGGGCTAGGAAATGTCATTTGCTAAGTAATTTGTTCTCAGCACGTATAACGTGGGAATCTTTAGGTTATACTTCCATTACTAGTTGTGATCTCCAAATTAGCATTAATGGCAACGTGGATAATAGTTTTTATTGAATCTGAGAGAGTGACATTTCCCTTTTCTGGACCCCATAATGGGGTGACGATTAGAAGAGCTACTCTTCCCAGAGTGGTTCGGAAGTGTAAGAGGGGGGCTGCCTGGAATTTAAAATTGCTGGGCTCCCCTAACAGTTCAGATTAGTGTCTGGATCTAGAGTTGGCTAGGAATGATAGGTGTCTTGGCTCAGGAGGGATTGGTTTACAGTTTAAGCAGGAGAAAATTCTGGCAGCCTGGATTCTGAACTGAAAAGGTAGGTATGACTTGACACATTTAGGGGACTGAGCAAACTTGGATAGAATTAGAGATCAGGAGAGAGAGAGAGAGAAAAATGGCTTTAAAGTTTGCTTCATGCTCTTTTGAAATTTAGAAGAAGTTAGAGGTAGATTTATGAATTTGGATTCAGTCAGCAAAACTTAATCCATCAAATCTCGTGTCCTACAGCTATCATAACCTGCAGGTCTAGGAAGCTTCTGTTATTCATTCAAGTTAAACAAGTAAAAGCTAATAACTAGTTTGATGCTCTTTTCTGCCTGCTGGCAGTGAGAGTTTCTCAGAATGATGGTTTGAAGAGAGGAACAGGAATGGATATTTAAAATGAAAGCTCTTTCAGTGACTTGCTGGGACTCTTCAGTCAAGTCATTTTATATCCTTCCTTCCCTCATCTGTACAATGAAGATAATCATGGCCCAGGATTTAGTAACATGGGTGAAGCAGCTTGAAGATAACTGCAAAGACTTAGTTATTCTAGGATGAAATGTGAAGATCTCTTCCTAACACATTGTGCCTTGTGATAGGGCTTGTTAAAGCACATTGTGTTGGAAACATGCTGAGGCAGTATGTAAGAGAAAGAACATTAACTGTTAAGATGATGTGCCTAAGGCCTCAAGGCTGACACATTATATTTTGGGGCTGTCTGAAAACCTCGCATAGCTTCTTTTGACCAAACTAGCTATGACTCAGGTTTTATAAAAGATATTGAGTGCCTTCATTGTGGTATGCATCTAGAAATAAAAAGATAAAAAAGACGCTGCCCCAGAATTGTGTCATTCAGTTCATTTTATACACATAAGTCGGAGCACTTCCAGAGTTTTGTGTGTGTGTGTGTGGTTGGATTTTTAAATTTTATTTAAAAAGGATAAACAACAATGACCAAAAGACAGATTAAAACGGAGCAATTAACAAAAATCGAACAAAACGCAGCTTTATTTTTTTATCTCCCCCCACTAAAATGTAAGTAAGTCCAACTAGGCTAGTTTCTTACACCTCCTTGTTTGTTGCTCTGGTGGTTTGGTCACTAAGCTGTGTCCAACTCTTGTGACTCCACAGACTATAGCCTGCCAGGCTCATGTGTCCATGGACTTTTCCAGGCAAGAATACTGGAGTGGGTTGCCATTTCCTCTTCCAGGGGATCTTCCTGACCCAGGGATCAAACCCACGTCTCCTGCATTGACAGGCAGATTCTTTACCACTGAGCCACCAGGGAAACCCAGTTTGGTAGTTGGAAGCAGGTAACTAGGATTAGAGGTAAGGTTGGAAAACAAGGCTATGACTTTTGACTAGTAGGTGATAGGGAATCCTTAAAAAGTTTTATCCAGGGGAATTATATTTGATTTTTACTTCAGAATGGTATTTCCAGCAAAATCAGTAATTTGAGTGGTCCATAAACAATCCAAGTAATATCTGAGTCAGAGTAGTACATAGCAGTTTAAGACTAAAAATAAGTTATTGAAGACCTCAGGATGTTCTGAAAAGTAAAAATGATCATTCATACAACCAGCCTTTATTGAGCATCTTTCTTTTTTAAACTGTGATATAATTGACATATAATGGTATTAGTTTCAGGTGCACAACATAATTTGTTATTTTTATATCTGTGAAATGGTTACCATAGTAAGTCTAGAATCTTCTACTTTTAGGATTAGAGAAATAAATACACCAAGATAAATAAGATACACACCCGTTTTCAGTCAACTTATGATTCAGTAAGAGAAATGACAGTTGTAATACAGTGCTGAATCTGAGTGTCATAAGAGGCATGAACATGTTAAGTCTCAGTAATGTAGGATTCTGAGATGAGAGAAGACACAAATTCTTTCAAAGTAAAAATAAGTTCCTGAATAGGTGTTAAAATTTGTCCAGTTAAACAGTCAGTGCAGTCTTACTATAACATTTACAGTTTTTGTCTATGAACCCTCACTTCTCACATTGCCCTCCCCACTAATTAATTCTTTTGAGTGAAATTTCAGATTTGACTACCATACTACTATCTTCTGTGTGCCTTAGTTGTCTCATTTGTAAATTAGGAATAGTAAAACCTACTTCATAGGTTTGTGATGATTAAATGATATGTTAGTATCCAGAATGATGCCTGGAAAAACACTTTACATCTTTTGAATACTTTTTGACATAAAAATGCTGTAATTGAATAAGAACTAACTTAAAGGCAGAATTTTTTCTTTTTTTTGTTCTGTTTGTAGTAGCTAAACCCTCTACATTCAGAGAGGGTAAATATTATTCTGTTAAACTAAACTTCTTGAACAAGTGACCTTTGTTTATTATCTCCTGTTATTTGCTGATCATTTTTCTGAAATCTGATTTCCATTTTTACTCCTCAGGTTTGTCATAAAGTCCTTAATTACCAGATTCAACACAATATTCTATTTAACTCTGCCCTTTCTGTGGCATTTGCTGCTGTTCCTCATTTCCTCCTCTTTAAAACTCGTTTTCCTTGGTTTTCCTTAAACCTCCCCTCACCCCTGTGTTTTCATCTCCTAGATCTAGGTCGCTTGCCCTCACCTCTTACATGTTGATGTTCTTGAAGGTTCTTTCTGCCTCCCCCCTTTTTTTCTGTATAGATTCAACTACCACATGTATGCCGATGACTCCTAAATCTGCTCTGATATCGTATTAATCTCCAGGCCCTAGAGTTTATCCCCATTTGACTGTCTCATGAGGACCTGTATAAACCCAGTGAGTTCTACACTGAGCTCTTTATCTTCACACACTTAACCAAACCTGCAGGTAACTTTACTCCTGTGTTCTATCTATGTGACACTGTTGTCTGTCTAGTACCAAAAACAGATTTTTACATGAGAGAATAAATGCCTCCCTTTTGTATATTTGTCAGCCTGTTTGTCAGCCCAGCTTCTGAAGCTTTTCTTGTCTTTCCTTCATTGTCTTCATTGTCACTGGCTAATTTGGCCAGCCAGCCCCTGACCATTAATTGCTCTGTTTGCTATAATATTTTTGTGCCAGGGCTACTGAAAATGGGACCTGTTTTGTAAGCATAATGTGGGAGGAGATTTCTAGAATAATATTGTTCTAAAAGAATTCAGCTTCATGAGTTGCCAGTAGATACTTGTAATCCAAGGTGGATAAAACAGCCATTGCATATACATAGTCGACCCTCTTTATCCACGGATTCAACCAACCATAGATTGAATTGAATCAACTGAATTGAACACAGGTTGGTTGAGTCTGTGACTGTGAATCCTGTGGATAAGGAGGGCTGACTGTGTTCATTGTACTGCACTATAATGGACTTGAGCATCCTCAGAGCTTGGTATCCGCGGGGGGCCCTGGGACCAACCCCTTTTGGATACTGAAGGATGACTGTACTTTTTGCCTAATGGTTAATAGTTTAGGTTATGAAGGATAGAGTCTTGAGTTTGTCAGTCTTTTGCTAGTTGATTTTAATATGATTGTCTGTGCTTCTTTTTGAAAAGATGGCACCTTCAGCATTATTCTTTACGTGACCACCCTCAGAAATGTAATGGATTTGGTTCCAGTGTTGTGAATATTGCAATAAAGTGAGTCACATGGATTTTTGGCTTCCCAGTGCATATAGAAGTTATGTTTTTGCTGTATTATAGTCTTTTAAGTATGCAATAGCATTATGCCTGAAAAACAATGTGCATACCTTAATTAAAAAAATAGTTTTTTTGCTAAAAAATACTAACCATTATCAGCAAATCCTAATCTTTCTGTAGTAATAGTAGTGTCAAGGATCACTGACCACGGTTCGCCATAACAAACACAGTAACAATGAAAAAGTTTGAAATATGGTAGGAGTTAAACAAAATGTGGACAGAGACACGAAGTGAGAAAATACTATTGTTAAAAAATGGTGCCAGTTGGCTTTCTTGATGAAGAGTTGCCATAAACCTTCAATTTGTAAACACAGTATCTGCAAGTATCTGCACCATAACAATAAAGTGAGGTATGCCTGTATTCTGTATCCAAACTCTAGAAATGTCCTACATAGGATCGAGCCTGTAACAGCAAGAAGACATTTTAGCTTCTAGTAATTTCCAGGCACTGTTGGGAGGCTGGGACTGGATGGTCCTGAGACTGTGGCTGCTCGGGAACTAGTGGCAGTGTGTGAGGAGAGCCGATGGCCAGGTGGGGTGAGGGTGACCCATGCTGGACCGTGGAGGAGTAAGCAGATACTGCCAATGTCAACAGCTGGCATTGAGAGGGAAGCTTTGAATATGTCCACAGATAAACTGAAAACACTGTTCCTATGTGTGTGCTAAATGAGGAGAAGTTCAAGGTGTCAGAAGTAAATAAACTTGATGGGAAGGCATCCATTAACCATCACAAAGGCAAATTTACCTTCTTTTATGAGTGGAGCATTAAACGAAACTGGACAGGTACCTCTAGAGTGCAGTACAAGGGCCATGTGGAGATCTCCAATTTGTCTGATGAAAATAGTGTGGATGAAATGGAGATTAGTGTGAGCTTTGCCAGAGATTTTCCAGACACAAATCTTATGGCCTTAAAGAAGCAGCAGCATCCTCAAAACAGAGTTCAGACACAAATCTTATGGCCTTAAGGAATCAGCAGCATCCTCAAAACAGAGTTCACACAGGGTATGGTATTGCCTACAATCATGGAGAGTCAGTAGACCCAGCTGGGCAGCCAGCACTGAAAACTGAGGAGCGCAAGGCCAAATCTGCCCTTTCAAAAACCCAGGTCAGACCTGTTGGTGTCAAAATGCCCACTTAGAGAAACCTTCATGACATCGCCAGAGGAGCTCTACAGAGTTGTTTTGTTTTGCCCTTTTTTTTTTTTTTCACTCCCCAAGAGCTTGCCCAGGCCTATACCCATGCTCCTGTAGTGTTATGTGTTTGTTCAGTCGATCAGTTGTGGCCTACTCTTTGAGACCCCGTGAACTGTAGCCCGACAGTCTCCTCTGTCCGTGGAATTCTCTAGGCAAGAGTACGGGAATAAGTGGGTTACCATTTCCTACTCCAGGGGATCTTCCCAACCCAGGGATTGAATTTGCATTTCCTGCATTTCCACTTCACCTGGAAAGCCCTCCTACAATGTTAGAAGCAGAGAAAGATGGCAAGTTTCAGCTGATGGGTGTCAGTGTCTGGAGAATTCACTGAACTGGTCCCTGAGAAACATATTGCGATGAAGTGGAAGTTTAAATCTTGGCCAAAAAGGTGGCTTTGCCACCATCACCTTGACCTCCGTTGACAAGACTGGAGAGAATGAGCTGTGTTTGGAAGGCTGAGGCATTCCTGCCCATGAGGAGGAGAGAATGTGGCAGGGTTGGCAGCGGTACTACATTGAGGGCATCAAGCAGTCCTTCGCTATGGTGCATGCTTCTCTTAGGGCCAGCAGCGGGAGTACAGGCTGCCCAGTCCTGACTGAGCCTTGGGACTCAGAGGACTGCACCATCCCAGCCACTGACTTGGGGCCAGGGCCCTTCCCTTCACGTGTACCTTGGGTTTGCGCATGCTTTCTGCTGGGTGGGAAGAGAGGGTGAGTTCTCTTTTAGGTGTACCTACGCTAAATTAGTGTAATTTTAAAGATGAAGGAAAAGACCTTTTAGAAATCATCAGTAAATACAGTCTATCACCAGCTGTGTTAGTTTATGAGGAGATGGTCTCAAAAAATTTATATCATTTGCTCCAGATACTTGTTGAGTGTCCAGAGGAGGCCAAGGTTTGTGAGGCTTTGGAATCAGACACAGACATACCTCTTTTTATTTTGCTTCACATTATTGTGTGTTTTAATAAATTGAAGGTTTTGGGCAACCCTGCATTGTCAGGTAGTTATCATTTTTTAGCAGTAAAGTATCTCTTAATTAAGGCATGTTCATTGTTTTTTCAGACATAATGCTGTTATTGCGCATGTAGTAGACTATGTGTGTAATGTAAACATAACTATTAGATGCAGTGGGAAACCAAAAAATTCATGTGACTTGCTTTATTGCAGTAATCTGGAAGCAAACCACAATATCTCCTAGGTAACGCTATAAGCTAGTCTTATTCTTACCTTCCAGGTTTAAGAGCTAAGTTTTCCTTTCTCTTTCAGGTGTGCAACTGGCTAAGTTATCTTGCCTCCAGTTTCATATTCTTCCATCAAGAAAGTAATGTTGTATTTACTCCTTCCTAGGGCCATGGTAAGGCTGAGTGACATGGTTGGTGAACACGTTTGGCAGGTAGTAAAAACTAAGAGCAGTAGTTCTTCTTGCCTACCACTTTCACATAGGTATCTGAAACAGAAGTTCTTCAGTCCCTGTCCATGATCCTTGGCAAATCTCTGGATGGCTTCATGGATCCTCTAAAACTGTGGCCAAAACTGCCTGTTTTTCTACTTTTAAGTGGGAGGTTCTTTCGCTAAGAAGTTCAAATAAGATTTAAAATAATTGCCATTTATTGATATTCCATTCTCACTTAGCTCACTTTCAAGTTTACAAAGTTAGATCGATGTGGGTTTTTTTTTTTTTTTTCCCTTAATCCTCTCTTAAGAATGATTGCTGCTATTCCTGCCTCTGCCCTGGAAGGATGTGGGAGACCTGGATTTGATCCCTGGGTTGGGAAGATCCCCTGGAGAAGGGAAAGGCTACCCACTCCAGTATTCTGGCCTGGAGAATTCCATGGACTGTACTGCCCTTGGGGTCGCAAGAGTGAGACATGACTGAGCGACTTTCACTTTCATACTGTCTCTTAAGTTGTTGTGGTCTTGATTCAAACATCTAATCACCTTCCTGCTTCTCTAAGCTGGAAGACTTAGAGACTTAGAGATAATCAAGATTCCATCAAAAGCCTTACTAAGTTGCAGCATGACTGAAGTGTTGATTCTGGTTTGTCACAGTATTACAGTAGCATCCATCACATTAATATATCATCAAACTTAGTTGACATTCATTCAGCAAACTCTATTGGATTCCATATTGACTGAGGGTCAGTTATGATACCTCATACCAAAGCAAGTACGGTTCAGTTCAGTTATTCAGTCATGGCTGACTTTGTGACTCCATGAACTGCAGAATGCCAGGCTTCCCTGTCTGTCACCAACTCTGGGAGCTTACTCAAACTCATGTCCATCGAGTTGGTGATGCCATCCAACCATTTTATCCTCTGTTGTCCCTTCTCCTCCCGCCTTTAATCTTTCCCAGCATCAGGGTCTTTTCAGATGAGTCAGTTCTTCGCATCAGGTGCACAAAGTATTGGAGCTTCAACTTCAGCATCAGTCCTTCCAATAAATATTCAGGACTGATTTCTTTTAGGATAGACTGGTTGGATCTCCTTGCAGGCCAAGGAACTCTCAAGAGTCTTCTCCAACACCACAGTTCAAAAGCATCAATTCTTCAGTGCTGAGCTTTCTTTATAGTCCAACTCTCACATCCATACATGACTACTGGAAAAACCGTAGCTTTGACTACAGACCTTTGTTGGCAAAGTAATGTCTCTGCTTTTTAATATGCTGTCTAGGTTGGTCATAGCTTTTCTTCCAAGGAGCAAGCGTCTTTTACTTTCATGGCTGCAGTCACCATCTGCAGTGATTTTTGGAGCCCCCCAAAATAAAAGTCTCTCACTGTTTCCATTGTTTCCCTATCTATTTGCTGTACCAAAGCAAGGGTACAAGCAATATGCTGATAGGTCTGCTGGCCAGGAATGCAGCTTAGGTGGTGGGCGAGAAGGTGTTATTATAGTTGGTTCTGTACTGTTAACGCAAAGTGTTCTGGAAGCACAAAGAGAAAGGAATGGCCATTCAGAGAAAGCCTGGAGAAGAGCTGTATATTCACTAGATTGTTTTTCAGAAATTTTTTTGTATTGCTATTTAATATTTTGTCTGCTTCTATACAGTATTGGAATAATACTGTTGGATTATAATCTAGTCTCAAGAGGAGGTGGTAGAAAGCAAGAACCTCTATATGTGTCAGATTTGAGAAAGCAACTCACTATTTGTGTATTCCTTCCTCTTCTACAGTATAGTAGGGTGTAGGGTGTGTAGTTGATGGAAGTGAAAGAGAGTGAAAAAGTTGGTTTAAAGCTCAGCATTCAGAAAACTAAGATCATGGCATCTCGTCCCATCACTTCATGGCAAATAGGTGGGGAAACAGTGGAAACAGTGGCTGACTTTATTTTTTGGGCTCCAAAATCACTGCAGATGGTGATTGCAGCCATGAAATTAAAAGATGCTTACTCCTTGGAAGGAAAGTTATGACCAACCTAGACAGCATTTTAAAAAACAGAGACATTACTTTGCCAGCAAAGGTCTGTCTAATCAAGGCTACGGTTTTTCCAATAGTCATGCAAGGATATGAGAGTTGGACTATAAAGAAAGCTGAGTGCTGAAGAATTGATGCTTTTGAACTGTGGTGTTGGAGAAGACTCTTGAGAGTTCCTTGGCCTGCAAGGAGATCCAACCAGTCTATCCTAAAAGAAATCAGTCCTGAATATTCATTGGAAGGACTGATGCTGAAGTTGAAGCTCCAATACTTTGGCCACCTGATGTGAAGAACTGACTTATTAGAAAAGACCCTGATGCTTGGGAAAGATTGAGGGCAGGAGGAGAAGGGGACAACAGAGGATGAGATTGTTGGATGGCATCACCAACTCGATGGACATGGCTTTGGGTGAACTCTGGGAGTTGGTGATGGACAGGGAGGCCTGACGTGCTGCAGTTCATGGGGTCGCAAAGGGTCAGACACGACTGAGCGACTGAACTGAACTGAGGGTGTGTAGTTAAATGTGCTGGACTGTTATGCTTTGCTTCTTGACTTCATCATATTCTAGCTGTGTGACCTTGGGTAAGAAAGCTTGCTGAATCTGTTTCCTCATCTCTTATAGGGGCAATTGACTGGGTTATTGTGAAATTTAATCATTTAATACATGTAAAAGGATTTCAGTTTACTTGTTTCAAATAAATGGTTTACACTTAGTTATTTTATTCTTAAAATTAAGTAGAATCTTGTTTGATGATTGTGAAGACAGCGTGTGCATATTCTGCTTAAAAATGTGAGAAAATTTTGATATAAATAGCTGTACTCGATTGTATACTAGGTCCCATGAGAGATGTAAAAATCACAGATCGTAGAATTGCAAAGTCTTTAAAAATCCTAATTTTACAGATGTGGTAACTGAAGACCACAGAAACGATGACTTGCTCAGGGTCGTGCCTGTGGAAGTGGCTCTGGGAACTGTGACCCTTGACTCTGGTCTGGTCCTGAGGTGCCAGCACCTAAGAAAGATGAGCTTATTTGAAGAGCCAAAACCAACACAGATGAAAACAAGAGTAATAAGTCATTGTATAATGAAATACCAGATGGTGTGGCATAGACTCTGAGGACATACCCGTCTAACTTCATGAGCTGCTCTCTTGAAGCAGAGAAATGCACTGTACTAGTTGCTTGAGTCCTAGAAGGTTGGTAGATTAAGAGCATTTTTTTTTTAAAGAAGAATATTAATAGTTATAAACCAAAGTCAACCTCTGTCTTCTTTTTGTCCCTCTGAGTTTAGATTGTAATCAGTCTGGAGGAAGAGTCCATCTTTGCCAGGCCAGCCAGTACTCTGTGTTTTTGCTTTTCACATCAGTGCAAGGAAGACCTTCCTGGTGGGCTGGTTCCCCACAGACACGCTCTGTCATGGCCAGGGTCAGTGTGAAGGGTGCAGCACCATTGCTCACTTGTATATGTGATCATGAGGAGGGGGTAGGTTCTGGAAGTGTCATTGATTGATGGGGGAGCATTTATCATTTGTCTACTTTGATGTTTCCCCTAAAAGGCAGGGGTGCTCCTGTCTGGGGTTAAAGTGCATCCATACCGCCTCACTAACTGTGCATGAATCCACTGCCTCTAAAAATGTTGCAGAACAGTGCATGCCCTGGAATATCCAGCTGTATAAAGGTGTGCTGTAGAAGTGAAAACACTGGCCCGCCCCTCACTACACCCAGGCATCCCATTCCCCAGGGCTGTCCTTACTAACAGTTCACGACGTTTCCATACTGTTCTTGTATGGAATGTAAATGGACATTCTTGAATGGAATGTTCTTGTAAATGTATTTAGATAATTAGCAAAAAATGGTAATCAAAATATTTTTGTTTTTCATCCCTTTTTTTCACACTATACATGCAAATCTACTTCACTTTATTAATCCCAGAGTACCCCTTCTTCTGGCTGTACCATATATATTGATTTTTAACTGTTTCTCTATTGGTATTCATTCATTCATTCATTTGGCTGCGTTATGGGGCTTGTGGGATCTTAATTCCCAGATCAGGGCCCCGTGCAGTGGAGGCATGGAGTCCTAACCACTGGACGGCCAGGGAATTCCCTCCTTATTAATATTTAAATTTTCTCCAATTTCTTGCCATTAAAAATAAAGCTGTAGTCAGCAGTGTTCTTATATGTCATGCTTGCTAACTTGCATAATTGAATATGTGGTAATAGATGCCTAGAAGTATAATTGATTAGTAGAAAGACTTATGTATTTCAAACTTTTGTGGACTGCTGGGTTGCCATCTAAAACTGCAAACTACTGACCTCTGGTAAAGTTCTGTTTCACTTACATAATTGACTGTCTGAATAACTCTGGGACATTTGTATATTTCTAATCAATATTTGCCCTTCAGGGCCGTTTGCCTTTGTGTGTTGATAGTGCAGCTTAACTGATTAGTCTGAAGATAAATGTTTTATATTTTTTATCACCCATGCCATTCTGCTTTTAGTTTTGGTGGGTTTTGGTGCTACTCTCCCCCATTTTCTCTGATTATCTCTGTAATTGCCTTTTTAAAATGTGGATTTTATTTCTCATTATATGAAAAACACATTTACTTGTAGAAAATTTGGAAGGCGCAAAAAAGATTATTCATAATACCTTTGTGTGTGAAAATACATTGTGAAGGGGATGGATGTCCTGCCCTTGTCCTTCTCTTTTCTACTCCCAGGTTGGTCTTGGTCTTGTCTTCTAATTTTTTCTGTTCTTATACAACTTCACAGGGCAAAACTTATATGTGTACATACATTCGTATATTGTTGTTGTTTCAATTGCAGCCCCATAGACTGTAGTGTGCCAGTCTTTCCTGTCCTTCAGTATCTCTTGGAGTTTGCTCAAGCTCATGTCCATCCAACCATCTCATCCTCTGTCATCTCCTTCTCCTTTTACCCCGCCTTG